CTCTCACCCCTTAATTTTATTCTCCAATATCACCCCTTCATCTTCAACTCACCCTGTGCCCTCTATCTATCTATCTATCTATCTATCTATCTATCTATCTATCTATCTATCTATCTATCTATCTATCTATCTTCCTATCTATCTATACATACATATAATTTTTCCCCTCCCACTACCCGAATACTGACAAAGGTCTCATGAGTTATAAATATCATCTTTCCATGCAGGAATGTAAACAGTTCAGCCTTAATAAGTCTCTTATGATTTCTCTTTCCTGTTTACCTCTTCATGTTCCACTTGAGTCTTATAATTGAAAGTCAAATTTTCTATTCAGCTCTGGTCTTTTCATCAAGAATGCTTGAAAGTCCTCTATTTCACTGAATGACCATTTTTTCCCCTGAAGGATTATACTCAGTTTTGCTGGGTAGGTGATTCTTGGTTGTAATCCTATCTCCTTTGCCCTCTGGAATATTATATTCCATGCCCTGCGGTCCCTTAATGTAGAAGCTGCTAAATCTTGTGTTATCCTGATTGTGTTTCCACAGTACTTGAATTGTTTCTTTCTGGCTGCTTGCAATATTTTCTCCTTGACCTGGGAACTCTGGAATTTGGCTACAATATTCCTAGGAGTTTTCCTTTGGGGATCTCTTTCAGGGGGAGATCAGTGGATTCTTTCAATTTCTATTTTGCCCTCTGGTTCTAAAATATCAGGGCAGTTTTCCTTGATAATTTCTTGAAAGATGATGTCTAGGCTCTTTTTTGATCATGGCTTTCAGACAGTCCAATAATTTTTAAATTCTCTCTCCTGGATCTATTTTCCAGGTCAGTTGTTTTTCCAATGAGATATTTCACATAGTTTTCTAATTTTTCATTCTTTTGGATTTGTTCTACTGCGTCGTGATTTCTCATAAAGTCACTATCTTCCAATTGCTCTATCCTAATTTTTAAGGAAGTATTTTCTTCAGTAATCTTTTGGACTTCCTTTTCTATTTGGCCAATTTTGCTTTTTAGGGCATTCTTCTCCTCATTGGCTTTTTGGACCTCTTTTGCCATTTGGGTTAGGCTATTTTTTAAAGTGTTATTTTCTTCAGTATTTTTTGGGTCTCCTTTAGCAAGCTGTTGACTTGTTTTTCATGATTTTCTTGCATCACTTTCATTTCTCTTCCCAGTTTTTCCTCTACTTCTCTTACTTGCTTCTCAAAATCCCTTTTGAGCTCTTCCAAAGGCTGGGCCTGATTCATATTTTTCTTGGAGGCTTTGGATGTGGGAGCTTTGACTTTGCTGTCTTCTTCTGGTTGTATGTTTTGATCTTCTTTGTCACTAAAGTAAGATAATATAGTTTGACTCTTTTTGCAAGGTTTGCTCATGATCCTAAGGCTGGTGACTTTGCAAAGCTCTCCCTCACTTAAATCGAATTCACTTTGTATGTCATGGCATCACCTCCCTAACATCATGGTCCTCTTCAAGAATGAAGGGCAAACAACAAGATAGTAACTTAACTGTTAGTATTCTTGTGAAGTTGTAAAATCCTTGGCCATTGACAAATGATTGAGTGTCTTCCTGGAGTAATTGAATTGTGTCAACCTTGACATTCTCAATATGAATGAAACTAGAAAACAGAAGGTGCAGCTAAATGGAAGGATTACTCACAAATTTTTCTTAAAGAGGCAGATAAAGAAGGTGGTGAATTTTTCTCATGCACCCAAAGGTAATAAGAAATATTTTGTGGGATATTAGGTCATTTTATACTTCATGACTATAAATGCTTGCAGAAATCAAGGTCTCAATCAGAGAGATTACTATAGCTATGGTGAACTCCACATAGTTTGTGAAAGAACTTGGACTAGTCACCTTTGAACTGGACTAGAAAGGAACTAAAAGGCATATACCACCTCAGCTGCTTCAACCAGTGGGGTTGTATAATAATTTTGTTAAGACATTATAACCAAACTATAGGCAAACATTACTCACTTCCGTTGTTAAGCAGTTCACCCAGCCTCAGATCAGCTGAGCCAAGCTGCCAGCTCCCACTCTGCCCAAATTCACCCTATTCACTCCATGTTGTCTGCTCCCACTAGTCCCACATTGCACCACTAGGCTCTAACCCTATGTAACATTGTTTCACCTACCATCATGGTTTTTTGGAATCAAGAGTGGAGTATATTTGTATAAAATGAAAGGAAAACAAGAGATAAGAGAACATGATTATGAGAGTAAGCTCTATAAGCATGTCAATAATTATCACAGCATATTTTAAAAAATCTAAGGATGCTAAATATGTCTACTAAAACTTTTTCAGCATGTCTTAGGCTTTACTAGAAAAAAAAAGTCAATGTATATTTTCTAAAAAAATTACTTATTTTTGATCCAAATAAATTAAAGCTAGTTCCCCCAGACCACCTCCAGATTATAATTCCAAAAAACATTCATAACATCTACTTATATAAATTTTTTAAAAATTAGTTTACAGATGCCAAAATGATGCTTTCATTGACAAAACATATCAGCTGCATAGAAAACTCCAACATGCTTAAAGATATATAAGCCTAATTATGACATCAACTAAAAACGCCAAAGCAACATATATTCTAGTGTCTTGAGGACCAGGGAAAAAGGGAGGGAAATAAGGAAAGACTGAACAGGAAGAAGAGGTGTGGCAATTTCCTTGTGGCTTTCCAAACATAACACATAATTCCAACTGCAAAGGTTCATGAAAACAACCTCTGTGACTACTTCATTTTAAAATCTCAGAATATGTGACTGAAAAACCCAAAATAAGCTGGATGCTACAACACATGCTAACATTCTGTTCTTCCTAATATTTCATCCATGCAAGATCAGAATGACAAATTGTCCATGCCTTTGGCTGGTATCAGTAAAATTTCGAGATTTAGATCTTAAACTGGAATAATTTTCCTAGAAACAATGGAAAAGAAAAGGACCCCACTAGTTAAAATTTTCATTTCAATGAAAGGCATATGGCTTCCCAATTATTTAAAATGCTAACAAGACATATAAGCTATAAACATTCTGTTTTGTATATAAGTGGTGAGTTAATCAGTAGAGAATAGAACAATCCAAAAGCTATATCATCTCCTTAACACCAAATTTATTTTAATTTACATTTTTCAACCAAGTAAAAGGTGATAAGGCTAAGATTAGAATCAAATGGCACAGAATTTGACCCTAGTTATTTAATTTACTCACTATCATTTTGGCAAAATCACCATTAAAATATTACAGCTATTATCCCTTTCCCCTCATTTCCATATATATACACAAGTCTAGCCAAAAAAAAAATAGGATGATAGGTTTAGAGCAGAAGAAACCTTAGAGGTTCTAGATCAATACCTTCTTTTTCCAAGTGAGAAAATTAAAGGCCAGAGAAATTAGGTAACTTGCCCAAAGTCACCTCCCTAAATACTTGCTTTTGTTAAGTTCTTCCTTATATGACTCCCAGGATCCTCCATAAATCAGTAAGTTTGGAAAGAGTCTACAAGACAGCATCCTAGATCACATGCTTAAATTAGACCTTCATGTTATTCTATGTTGGAATTTGTTTTTTCATTTTAAATTACTATAACAGTCCTATATGCCACTAGTTTGGCTTATCTTTAAAAAAAAAAGCAATTTTTAAATACTGAAAAACAGCACACAGGATCACCTTATTAGGCCCAGGAGTTAAGTGATTTCCCCAAGGCCATAAAGCTAGTATAGTCAAGCCTTCTAGTCCAGTACTGTGGTTCTTCCTTACATAACTGACCCAAAGAAGGGCTCTAAAACCCACAAGCTAAACAATGGAGCCCTTCTTTTCTGAAATATCACATTTTACTTAAGTTATCTGGGATTCTTAGGGGTGGACATCCCAGATACAATAAATATGTATTTCACAAAGTACACTTCCAACCCCAGGCCACTGGCTGAACACAATCCAAAAAAATGAAACCATAATCCTACATACCATGACAAGAATCCCAAAAGCAGCTAATTCTTTGCCAGGCTAGAACTGTTAGGAAAGAACGGAAGACTCTGCCGCTAATCATTTATGATTAATCTGAGATACCTTAGCCTATCACAGGCAACCAAAAGCCTAGAGCCTTCCCACAACTTGTCTGCAAAGGAATTTTTTTAAAAAAAAAAAAGGGAAAAAGGAAAAAGCCGCTCCCAGGAACTATCCACTCTATTCTTGGTTTCCAAACTCCCTATGTATCTCTGACAGGATTTGGAGGAGAAGGAAAAAAAGGCTACTTTCCAACTCCACCCTGACAAACTAAGAAAGGAAATCAACAAGTAGGGGACATAAAGCACTGCATGATTCTCATCTTCAAAACCAATCTGGATTCTCATTTCAGACTTTTCCTTTAAAAAATACATCAGACTTGCAAAAAGGAAACATTTTTAGAAGATAGTACCTTTTCAGTCATCCTGTAACCTGTTAACAAGCTCTAAAACTGATAAAACACGTTCTCTTCACATCCGCTTTTAAAAGTCTTTTGCTCTCACCTAATAATTTCCTCCATTCAACCTAAGGAGCATGTGGCTCAGCCAACAGATGGAGACACTTCCACAGTTTGAATCTAATCTGCCTCTTTGGAAGGTCAGACGGAGCAGGCTCCCTGGTAGAAGCTACTGGGGAGTGACAAAACAATGATTAACTGCAACAACTTGTCTGCCTGGACTTAACCCTAACAGAAGCCGGCAGATCCACTCAGGAGTCACCACTTAGGAAAAGCTTGTCCTGGGGAGGCTTCTGACCAACCTACCTCTATCTAAGATGATATGTGGACCACAAAAATCTGACACATGCTTGTGACTTAAAATTATGCTAGCCCTCTCAAGAGACAAGTCAATCTAGCTTCCTTCCTCTCCCTCACTAGGAACAAAAAACCTCTCTGGCAATGAGGCATAACAGCACTTGGTGCCCCTCAAATGGCATTTATAAAATGCTGTCTCATGTTAGCTTTCATGAAGGTCATGTGACAGTGGAAAGAGCCCTGGATTTAGACTAGGTTAGAATTCTGGATCTGCCACTTCCTAGCTGTACAGATCTTGGGCAAGTAACGGCCTCCTGGGGCTTCAATTTCTGAAACTGTAAAATGAGCTAGTTAGATTAGATGATCTCTGAGGTTCTTCACAACTACAAATCGCTGCCCTTCTTATCTAACACTCCATTCACCCTTACCAGACTGTCAGCTCCCTGAAGGCAGAGATTCTAGCCCCAGTACCAGGCCTTGTATATAAGAGGAACTCAATACATTCTTGTTGAATGAATAACTGAATCTGGCTCTGAACAAGGAGTGGATAAACCATGACATTCATCATAATGCCTGGTGAAGACTGCATTGGGGACATCACCTTGATGGAGGAATGGCCATACTCAATGAAGGTATTGTAACTTTTAGAACATTTTTCATTAATGAGTGGTACTCATCACCATCTGACAGCTCCTCTGAATTCTCAAACTCTCACCTTTTCCACCCCCATTCTCAATGATACAATTTGGGGGCACCCCAGAGGGTCTTTTGATGTCTGAAGACTGACTAAAAGTAGTTTACTATTCTTTCCCTAAATGGATCACCAAATACTGAGCCTGACTTTGTTTATGTAAGTATACAGTTCAGCACTGGAGTTAACATTTTTAATCTTACAACATTTTTCATCAAGACAAATCTCTTGTTTTTTACACTTGGGAGTTTTTCTTCATAGAGAAAGAGGTCAAGAGCAATCTGGTTAAAATCATCAGATTAGGGCTGCTATTCATTATGAATAGCAAGTATTATAACATCATAGAGCTAAGGATGGAAGGGACCTCAGAGGACATCAAGTCAATTTCCTCATTTTATTTATTTATTTTTTTGGTGAGGCGATTAGGGTTAAGTGTCTTGCCCAAGGTCACACAGCTAGTGAGTGTTATGTGTCCAAGGCTGCATTTGAACTCAGGTCCTCCTGACTCCAGGGCCAGAGCTCTATCTATCCACTGTGTCACCTAGCTGTCCCCAATTTCCTCATTTTATAGAAGAGCAAAGTAAGACCAGTCAAGTTTAGCGGCTTGTTTAAAGTCACACAGACATAAAAGTATCTGAGGCAAAATTCAAACCCAGGCTGTCTTCTTGACTCTAAGTCTGGTACTCTGTTCAGTACCACCATGCTCCCTATCTCAGTGGATGAAGCCAAGTTTTAGATTTTTATCATATAATTCAACCTGCATTATTACAGGAGAATAATTTTACTTGTAATAATTTTTAAAATCTGTCATATATTTTCCTCTTCATTAAAGAAATTTGTTTTATTCAATGGAATAAAAAGTATTCTGCACCTACAGTGGTGGTCAGATTTTATTTTAACACTCACAACTTAACTCAGTTGGCCAACAATATCGAGTGAGATTGAAAGGAGCTGTCTAAAGGCTTTTTGGGCCCAAGTTTGCACATACAACTAAACAGAACTAAAGAATGCCAAAACAAATAAACTTTTTCTGTTAAGAAAAACAGGGTAGGAATGTAAGCCTGTGGTTAGAGTCCAAAGCAGAAACTTAAGTGTTGTACACTCTATTCTTGATTTTACCATTGCCTTACTGTGTAAATGGTTGTATTGTTAATATTCTTGTATGAAGAGACAATATATTGACAGGGGAAAAAAAGTGGGGTTGAATGAAATAGGATACCACTACACTCTCCTCCAAAACACAGCAGGCATTACTACTTCTCTACCTTTGATTACTCCAGTTCTACCTCCACGAAATACTCTTATTCCTCTACTTATCTAAGACTTACACATGTTTCAAGGCCCATCTCCTCCATATACATCTTGAGAGCTGGGCCCCTTTCCTCCCCCCATGGTGTCTACTGCAATCACAGAATCATAGGTTATGGGCTGAAAGGAATCAAAGAGGTCATCTACTCTGATCCCTTCATTTTACAGATGAGGAAACTAAGAATCTGAGAGAATGTGATTTGTTCCAGATCACACAAGATACCAATCCCTGGACCTCTGACTCCAAATCCAGCCTTCTTTCCCGTGCACATAATAGGTTCTCAATAAATGTCTACTGATCCACCCTTGATCCTAGACTTCTCACTTGCTAAATACTCTGATTAAGCAACATATTCAGTAGAAAGAGCACTGGCTCAGGAATTACAGAACCTGGGGTTCAAATTCTCCCTCTTGATGATACTCCCTGTGAGATCCTTAGTTTCAAGTTTCCTCATCTCAAAGGTGAAACACTTGGATTAAATGAGCTCTGAAGCCCCTTCAAACCACAGAGCTATTATCCCACAACTCCTTGGCAAAGTGGTTTAGCTGCTCAGCAGCCCAGCAGATTAATTATTATACCTGTTCCCTTCCTAAGGAAAAAGAAAAGAATAATAAAGAATATGACAATTCTTTATTAATAAACAAGGAGTGACTACTAAAATGGTTTAACAAATGTAAGGCACTCTAGATCTCCTAAATGAAAGCAAATAGTTTAATATAGTAGTTCAGATAGTGTCAAAGCCTTAGACAGAGGTTCTTAACCTTAGATTTGTGGACCTGCTTTTTAAAATGATTTGATCAACTATCTTAATATAATTTGTTTTCTTTGTAATACTGTGCATTTTATTTTATGCATTTAAAATCTTATTCTGAAAAGGGATTCACAGCCTTCACCAGACTGCTAACACACACACACACACACACACACACACACACACACACACACACAGAGTTAAGAACCCTAGGCCAATTTATAGCTACCAGCCCTGACCCCAAGAGATAAATCATCCAGTTTGTTGACACACATTTGTCAACCTGTTCAATCCACCAGAAATGGTTACTTCCTGAGATCTCCCAACAATCACACCCGTACCACAGTCTGAACCTTTGGCACAAACATTTATTTGCTCAATCTGCAGAATCAACACCTATATATCTGACATAAACACCTTCATTCAGGCACATGTGCACTACCAGCAAATTAAGTTTCCAGGCTATAAGTTAATCCCAATAATTCTAGTTTATCAAAGGCAGCTTGCACCAAGCCACCCACTACAGTGGGATAAATGACCCTGTGGCTTGCCTCTTGCTAAGATTTCCCCACTTGTCCTACTCAACCTCTTTGGCTTTACGCCAACTTGCTCAATACAATATCTGGTCTGGATGATCTTTGTGATACTCTATGTCTTAGATGGAACGGACTGGCTAGGCCTACAGTCAGTAGTAGTTACAATGGATTAGTTCTCCATTCCCCTTCCTTAGGGCTGCTCTTCACTGAGACTTGCTGATTCATATCTTTCCTATGTTCCTTTACCTTGATTCACACAGCCATCATCTTATTTCAAGCCCACAACAAGTCTCAACTGGACTATATTATACCAGACTCCTAATTGGTCTCCGTACTTCCATTCTTTCTCCTCTCCAACCTACTTGTACTTTAGTAAGATTTTTTAAAAAAAATTTTAACACCAAAACCCCCAAACATTTCAATATATAAAATAGAAGTGTATACACACATACATTTTGTGTTGCTTACTTTAATAAAAATTATTTAATACATTCAACCAGTTACTTTCAAAATTATATTGCTTATCTGTGCTTCCTTTGCACACTTTTAAAAATATTTCAATAGCCCTCATTTTTTTGTTTTGGCATCACTATTACTAATATTTGTAGTATTTTTTCTGTGACCTAGAACTTCAGAATTTTGCCCATGACATTCTTTGGACTGTTCTTTTTGAGAATTTTTTCAGGGGGTGATTGGTGGATTCTTTCTATTTACACTTTATTCTCCAGTTCTAACAAATCTGAGCAGTTTTTATTTATGATTTTTGGATATATAATATTCAGGCTTTTTTCTTTTAAATCATGCTCCTCAGATGGTCTGATAATTCTTTTTTTTTGGGGGGGTGAGGCAATTGGGGTTAAGTGACCTGCTCAGGGTCACATAGCTAGTAAGTGTTAAATGCCTGAGGACACATTTGAACTCAGGTCCCCAATTCCAGGGCTGGGACTCTATCCACTGAGCCACCTAGCTGCTCCCGGTCTGATAATTCTTAAAATATCTCTCCTTGTCCTGTTTTCCAGGTCAGTTGTTTCTGATAACACATGATTTTTTTTTCTATTTTTTTTTCCATTTTAATTTTTTTCTAATATTTCTTGCTGTCTAAGGAAGTCATTTAATTTGTTTGGTCTATTCTAATTTTCAGGGAGTCTGTGGCTTGGGTAAAGTTGGCCACTTTCTATTTTAGGTTATTTCTTCTCTAATTCTTTATTCCAGTCCTTTTATTTTACTTTATCTTTTGCTTCATTTCTCTGAATTAGGGTTTTGTGCTTTTCTCTCTGCTAAGCTATTGGGTAGGGTTTTTGGTCCTACCGGGGTTTTATCTGGATCCCTGAGCTAGCCTCTATTTCCTGAGGTTAGGCTCTCCTATGGCTCTGAGGTTCAGAACTGGATCTTCAGGGCACTTTATGGCATCTTAGGATACAGTTAGTAAGAAATTTTAACTCCTGGGCCTAAGGTATTTCAGTCTGAACGTTGCTACCATCCCATTGGTCAATGTCATTCCTGGTGGTTTCTAAGGTCCACAATGTGTATTTTCCCACAACCCTAAAGCTTTCTTTAGGGAACCCTCCACTCTTGCTGCCTCTGGATTGAAAGCCTTGCAGTTACAAGTGTTTCTGGTCACAATGGGAGACCTATGGCTTGTTTGGCTGAACATGTACTGGCTTTTCTAACAGACCCCTTTTGCTATTGCCAGTGAGCTTCTTGCTGATTTTTTGTAAGCTCTGTGGTGAATGAAGTTTCTTACAATAGTTTCTTATTGTATGTTTTGAGAATTGGTCTGGTAGTGACCATTCTTTCTCAGTATTCTTTTGCAAAATCTTCATCCAGGTCCCACTCCCTCCAACTCTGGGTGCACCCTAAGGCTCTATTCTAGATCTTCTCTTTTTTCTCCTCTCTACCCTCTCTGATGGTGACCACAGATTCAACTATCATTTCTATGTATGATTTTTAAATCTACATATCCAAACTTCATTTCTCTTCTGAATCCTATATCTCCAAATGCTTGCTGGACATTTCCACCTAGACATTCCAAAAGCCTCTCAAACTCATCATGTCTAAAGCAGAACTTATGTTCCCCCAGAAACCTAAGCTTCCTTCTAACTTCTGTATTTTGGTTGAGGGCATCACCATTTTTCTAGTCACTCAAGTTCGCAGAGATCATCCTTAACGCTTCCCTTACCTTCCCCTCTCATATCCAATTAGTTACCGTGTCCTGCTGACTCTACCTCCAAGACATTCCACCCACCTGTCCTCTCTAGTCATATCACAGCTACCCTAGTTCAGCCCCTACGACTTCTCACTCATATTATCCCAATAGCTTCACAAATGGTCTCCCTGCCTTCTTTCCCCTTCTCTGATTAACCCCCCAAAGAGCTGTCTAATTGACATGCCTAAGGTACATCTGCTTATCTGTTCGAGAAGTTTCAGTGACCCCTTTAGCCTCTAGAACTAAATACAAACTCCTGTTTTGCACTTACAGCCCTTCACGATTTGGTTTCACCCTTCTTTTAAACTGCAGCATACCCCCACTAGCCTTTCTCTACCAGGTACTGTACTAATAGCTGAGGATACAAAGAAAGACAAAAATATTCTCAAGGAGATCACATTCCAATAGCAGAGACAACATACAAACCAAGTATATTCGAGATATATACATGAGGTGGTAATCACAGAAGGAAGGCACTCACTTGGTAGAGGGTAAGACAAAAACTAGTAAAGGCCTCTTGCAGAAGGTAGAATTTCAGCTAAGTATTGACAGTATCTATGGAATCCAAGAGACAGAAGTAAGGAGAAAAAGCATTCCAGGCATGAGGGATAACCAGCAGAAAGGCACGAAGTTGGGTAAGTGAGGAACAGCAAGAAGGTGGGTGTTGCTGAATCACAGAGTACATGGAGGAGAGAGTAAAGTGTCAGAAGACTGGAAAGGTTAGAAAGGAGCCAGGTGGTAAAAAGATTTAGAAGATAAAATAGAATATTTGGATCTTGACAGTAAAAGGAAGCCACTGAAATTTATTGAGTAGAGATAGTGACAAGGTCAGACCTGCACCTCAGGAAGATCACTTTGACAGTAATCATCTCACACATTGTTTCTTTCCTGAACTTCACCATCTTCAGAACTCACTGCTTCTTGGTGGGGTAGATTGAGAGCTCCTTTCTGATCATTTGGCATTTAAGGGGAACATCCAGGGAATTCTCCTGATCATTTCTCACGCAGCTGCTTTCCTGGACTTCATCTTCTCCAGATACTCATCTTTCTGTAAGATGAGACAAGTCCAAAACCCAGACCAGGTAATCTCCCCCACTCCACACCTCACCTCCTGCCCTGCTCCCTGGTTTTAGCTTCTTTTTATATGTTGCCTCCCCCATTAGGGCAGGAACTGTCCTATACCCCCCCATTTTTAAAAAATCTCTAGCACTTAACACAGTGCCTCAAACACACCAGGTGCTTAATAAATGTTTATTGAATCTGAGAGATGAGTGGAAAATGGACTAGAATGAGAGAGGAGACATTAGAGCTGGATAAATATATTTGAGAATCATCTACATAGAGATGATAATTGAATACATGGGAACTGATGAGATCACCGAGTGAACTAGTATTGACAGAAAAGAAAAGAGAGCCACGGGCAAATCTTTGAGGGTCTAATCCATGGTTAGTGGGTATGACCTGGAAGATCCAGCAAAGGAGACTGAGACGGAATGGATGACACAGGTAGGAGGTGAAGAAGGAGAAACAGTGTCATGAAAACCTATGGAGGAGAGAGTGTCCAGCAGAAGACAGTGATTGACAATGTCAATGTCTGCAAATAGTCAAGAAGGACAAGAACTGAGGAAAGGTCATTAAATGTGGCAATTAAGAAATCATTGGTAACACTGGAGAAAGCAGTTTCAGTTGATATTGGAAGCTTATATTGCTGTACAACTATTTAACTCAAATAGTTAATTTAATTTTCCTTGTGTTTGTCTAGTTTTTCCTACTAGACTATAAGCTCTTTGAGTGTAGGAAGCTTAAAAATAGTGTCAAATGTCAACAGAAAAGGATTAGAGGCAAAATGAACTCTTCCCTTTCTGCCCTCTTTCCCTTGGCTCGTTTCAGGGTTCTCAATCAACAAGTATTTATTAAATGCCTATGTGCCAGGCACTGATGAGATGCAAATATAAAAATGAGCTATTCTTGCTCTCAAGGAGCTTACATTCTCCTGCCTGCTTCCCCTATCTCAATTTTTCTAACCATATTCTCTCCAGCCGGTGGTTCATTTCTATTCTTCCTGGGTTTCTCAGTCTTTTCCAACCTCTACACCTGACTCAACACCATGAAGTCATTTGTGGCTACACAGTACTAGGAGCAGATTTAAAAGCACAAGCTCTCTGGCAAATGCACAAGCTCACTTGCCAATCTAGAAGAGCATATAATAAGTATATCCAGCAATGTTTCCACATACAATTACTACCAGACAGTTTACTGCAAGAGACACTTTCCAGTTTTCACCTTTGGCTAATCTTAATCATATAGTGTTCTGCTAGTTCTAAAGTTAGCCACAGATTTCTAATCCACAAATTAAAATACAAAGTGTCTCCTGAAACTATGCTCTAAAACTTCCTCTCCTGCTTTGTACATTACTTGGCAGGGTCCAAACAAAATGCTACCCTTCTGGCAGAGTTGGAAACTGAAACAGATTGGCCTCTTGTCTGTGCTACAATCCCTGGTTAGCATGAAACATAATCCTTACTCATAAACCCAGAGTGATTCATGTTGGAAGAGTTCAATTTCGCCTGAGTCAGGTTGGTATGATTTTTCACTTAATCCCATGGGCACAAAGCAGGGATCTATTTCCATGTGGAACCAGCTGTGAGGGAGTAACCATTTCCTTTAGTGTTCAAGCCCTATAAAAAGGATTAGTGCAATGGCTCCTAAACTTTTCTTGTTACAACCCCAAACTAGATATCAACAAGGTTTTGTGATCCTAAGGGGGAAAAAAATCCCAAACAGATTTCAACATGTGTAACAATGATTAACACAGTACAAGAACACCCCTTTGACCTTTAGGCTGCAGTTGTATGTAGCACATCTTAGACCATTTGCTACATCTGCTCCCAAATTTCCTACAGGAAACAAAATGTTGGAGTTACCACGGTCTCTTATAGAATAACAAGAGGTCCATTTCAATGCTAAAAAGAAGTAGCAACATCATAATCAAAGTCATCTTGCTGGTGGTATGACATGGAGAAAGACTAGTCCTGAAGTCGGTTATTCTTCTTGCCTATTCCCTCATCATCCAACCAATAATAGCCTCTCTATTCTTTAACTTATTCTGTAATCATCATGCAACATATGTGAGTAAAACAATTCCAGCCAATTAATGATATTAGGCTGAGCATGTCACTATACTGCTTTATGCTATAGTTTGTTGTGTATATGTCTATTTCTTCCACTAGGTAAGAAATTATAAGAAGTCAGGACCAATGTTTTATGCTCTTTTTTTTTTTTAACTCCTCACATTTAACAGAATACTCTTTGGATGAATAAAGGAACAACCCCTGACTGTAACTTTTGGTAGATTACCTATAGATTACTGCAATTACTTGGGCTGGCCTCCACTAAAGTCTTAGTCTGAGACTTCATCATGGACTAGAGATGACCTCATGTTCCTGTAGACTCTGGTAGGGAAGCACAAGTTCAAACAACCAAGCAGGAACTTGAGGGATGGACTGTCTCTTTTCTGACGACAACGTTTTGGAAAGACTCATCAACAGGCTGGCTACGAGACCATGAATATTTCTGCCATAAACCTTTCTTGCGATAAGCATTGGTGAAAGCATCACCCACATTGATCAAATTATGAACCCCTGAAATACTGAAATGTTTTGGGCTTGTAATATAAATAAGCAAACCAACAAATAAAACCCCTCACCATTACCTGTGTCACTTCCCAGTTTTGCTCTATTGGGATACAGTCATCACTTGAGGGAGGAGGAGTAGAGAGAGAACTAATCTCCCTTGATGTACCATCTGTAGCTTGCTTTATAAAAGGCAAAATGACTAGGTTTTTACCTTCGTAACTCACATGTTCAGGCTGCTGAGATAAATTTGGCATCTATACTCATGTTAATTTTCTTCACTTCCTGACCTACATTCCTGCCAAAAATACAGAGGCTTATATCAAAAGACTGTACAGCTCCCTCTGTATTCTGTATTAAAAAAAAAAATCTGGAAGCAGCTGGTCTGTCCACTGAGCCAAAAGGATACACACGGACCAAACTGTGCAATACTGTTTATGCCAGAGAGGCAATGGATAAGAGATGCCTGTTATTTTCAGTTTTACCATTCACATACTAGGTAACCTTGAACAAGTCCTATCCTTTCTTCACTTCGTTTACCTAGCTGTAAAACAACGCTGCCATGCTAAGCAAAGATCTTCTGAAATTACTGGACAGATAAGAAAATTAATTTCCTGTTCTTAATTCCTTATTCTTTAGACACATTTCTGTCTTCATATCTATCCCCCGTCCTGATTTCCAAATCTTAAAGGGGGGAAAAAATTCCTCCTTTTCCTTAAAACTAACTCTTCTTCCTACCCCTTAGATGTCACCCCTTCCTGACTCCTGTAACCACAGTCACACCTCCATCCATCTCCAGCTTCTTCAGTCTTTCATTCTATATTAGTTCTTTTTAAATATATACAGGTATCTCCCCCAAGCTTGAAAATATCTTCACTTGTCAGGGCAGCTGGGTGGCACAGTGAATAGAGCACTGGCCCGGAAGTCAGGAGGACCTGAGTTCAAATCCGGCCTCAGACCAAACACTTGACACTTGCTGTGTGACCCTGGGCAAGTCACTTAACCCCAATTGCCTAAAAAAAATTTAAAAAAAAAATCTTCACTTGACCCTGCTCTCCCCTCTACCTACCATCTGTCCTTTCACCATTAAACTCCTCCAGCTAATTCATATCTACTGCCTCTATTTTCTCCCTTCTCACTCTTGCTACCTGCTTAAATCACTGCAATCTGACTTTTAGCCCATCACCTACCTGAGAACCAATATTTCTACATAGCCATTATTCATTAGCTCTCAGCAGCACTTGATGCTACTTATAACCTCCCTCTTTGAAATGCTCTCCTCCCTTGGTTTCCATGAAATTACTATCCAAGGGTTATTATGGGAGTATATTACAGACTATCCTAGCTAGGGGAAGGATATAGATATACTTTTCTGATATAGACAACACTAACACCAGGCATTATATGACATTAATCGTGAATTTCAAGTATCCAGACAACTAATGAAAATCTCATTCTGCTCAATTTTGGCAGAGAATCTGATACAATTTTTTATTTGCCTCAGTTAACAATTTCATCCCTCAGAACACTGTGGAAACAGAACGGATGACAAATCTAGAATTAATTCTAACCATGAAAAAAAATTGGTAACAATAAAGTTAGAAATTAGTAAACGTGAGAGCAAAGTTAGGAGAAAGTGATTGTATCATTATAGAATTGTTAATAGCCAAAAATACAAACCCTGGACAGAGTTGGACATGTACTATCTGGGAAAGTGATATCAAGAAGTTCAGAAAAATGGTATGATCCCATAACCAGAGATTCTGAAAATTCAATTTTAACAATACAATCCTGAACAAATACTGAGAAAGAAATCGTCATTGAAATGAGGAAGAAGAATCTAATGAAACCAACGTAGCCATAAAGAGAGTGCTCTGATGAATTCAAATTTTAAAAGGATATGTAGAGAAGGTGGAAAGGACACATTCCCCAAAATCTGGAGCCACAGGAACACATGGAAGAGATACACCCAACTGCTTATGGCAGACAGTACAATGTTAAAATACAGAAAGTAGCAAACAACTCTTTATTTTTGTTTCTTTAGGGAAAAGAATTATTTTCAAAGTAGAAAGAATAGAACAAGGTTATAAAAGAATTGAAGCCTAACACCTAGGAAAATTCTAGAACAGATTAAACAGATTATTATAAGAACTCAGAAAAGGAGGCAGCAATAACAAAGAGACAATATGGGTTCACTGAACACAAGTCATGAAAATATAATCTCATTTCAGTTTCTGGAAGAGGTAGCACAATGTAATGAAAACAATAGTTTGAATCAGAAGATCTGCGTTCAGATGCTAGTTCTATTAGTTGTGGGACCTTAAGCAAGTAATTTAAAGTTTCTAAGGTTCTTTGTTTTTATCATAAACTGAGAATAATACCTGTATTAACCTATAACATTATTGTGAAGAGAATGCTTTGTAAACCTAAAATATATGTGTTTTCTTCCTATTATTAAATTGGTAGATTAAGGAGCTTCTACAAACATAATCTATATGAATTTTACTAAAGCATCTGATAAAATTTTCTTATAAGATCCTCACTGACAAGATGAAGAAGTATAAATTAAATGGTAGTGCCATTAGTAAGCTTCACTGCTGACTGAACAATTATACTCAAGAATGTTAATTAAGAAAACCTCTAAATCCCAACCTGTTAAAAAAAAATTTCAGTGACTTTTATGACACAACATACAAGACACATAAGGCAAGCTTATTAAATCTGTAGATGACACTAAGTTGGAAGAAATAGCTAATATTCTGATTAACAAACTCAAGATTCATAAAGATCTAGAAAGACTGAAATTAAGGTCTAATAGGATTTAACAGCAATAAATGTAAAGTCCTGTACTCATATATCAAGAAAAAAAAATCAAGGAAGGTGAAGACTGATTTAGCAGTTCACCTGCTGGACTAAAAGCTCAGTATAAGTGGAAAGTGTGCTATGATTGCCAAAAAGTTAATGTATTCAAGCTATGTTAGTAGAATGTGTTCTTTACTCATCAAAACAGGACCGTTTTGGGTTTGAAATGCACACTTCATGAGAGGCACTGACAAATTATATTGGGTTAGGATGAGGTAGAAGGTTAGACCTTTAATGTACATGTCAACTCTTATATCTTTTTATTTTAGGTCTCAGCTCCTCCACGAAATGTTTCCCAAGTACTCTCCAACTGGCACACCTGTACCTTATTTGGATTCCTACTACATTTTCCACCACACCATTCACCACTAAAAAAATGCCTTGTATTATTACCTCATTTTTTCGTAGTTGTTAGTCTTGTCCTTCCAATCAGAGTATAAACCAGTTAAGGTCAAGGAGTATGTTTGATACCTTTTTTTGTATCTCTCCAAGTGCAAGGACAGCGTTCCATTCATAGCATAAATTGAAAAACCTGATTTTGACTTAGCATGAATATACTAAGGAGACATTTTTTTCCTTGTTTGTAAAGGAAATTTTTCCCACATGAATTAAGAATTTTTCATTTCCCACATGATCTATGGATATTGCCACATACAATGAGCAATGTATTCTTGCCTTTTCACAAATAATGGTGCTAAGGACATTAAAACCTAATATACTAACAGATTAAAAGCAGGAAACACATTAAAAATATTTTGACAAATTGAAATTTAAATGAAAATGAAATATATGAAATTAAATGAAAATATGTCCAATTTAAAATTCTGATTCAGGGATTCATCTTAGTTTACAAAATATAATCCTTACGTGACTTAGATACCTCCAGATGATTAAGGTAGGTGGCACAGTGAATAAGAGCACTGGGCCTAAAGTCAGGAAGACTCATCTTTCTGAGTTCTGGCCTCAGGTACTCAGTAGTTTTGTGACCCTGGACAAGTCACTTAACCCTGTCTCCTCAGTTTCCTCATCAGTAAAATGAGCCATAGAAGGAAATGGTAAACTACTGCAGTATCTTTGCCAGGAAATCATCAAATGGGATCACAAAGAGTTAGGCATGACTAAAAAAAAATCAGTGAACAAAGATGATTATGAGAACAATGCAACTTGGAAAACAACCATGTAATGTTCTCAATTCACTGGTAAGCTGCAAACAACCAGTTGGAAACAACTATTTAAGGTAACTTGGAGTCAAATTAAAAACCAAGTACTTGTTCTAAATGTAACCCTAACCATTAAGCGTAAAATATGACATACTTTTGTCAGTCACTAGTGTTACATCAAATCATTACTTAAACTGTGTTGTTTTTATTTTTAAATGGGAGGGTATTATGGAGTCGGGAGTCAGGGAGCTATATTGGATGTGATAAGGGATCAGAAGCTAAAAATACAATAAAACATTAAAAGAAAAAAATAAAAGTACTCCCCAACCCTCAACGCAAAAGGCTCCCAGCCAGCACTTCCCTAGAACTCAATTGAGGTCCTCAGATTTCCCCTGGTTCTGGTTATTCATGAAGATTTCCTCTGAGTGACCTGACCATTTCTAAATAAACAAGGATTTTTTGAAGAGTCAGGTTATGTCAGCATGAAGCAGGACTTAGGAAAACTTTAAGTGCAAGTTACACTTCTGTTAATTCTATGCTTTCCATAATATTCTGAAACCAAGCATGTATAAATCTTGAGGTTTCTCAGTAGGCCAGCTGAAAATCATCATGAAAGAAATGGCATTATACCCTGTCTTGACAGCTATGGTTGGCCTGTGAAACTCTGCCACAGCACTCCTGTTAAGCCTCCTGAGAGTGGCACAACTAACACTATACCTTTTGAATTGTTTTCTTTTGCCTGGGGAGCCTGTCAAAGTCAAAATACATCTCTCTACTCACTCACAGGCAAGGATCCTGAACTGCTTCTTAGGAAAAAGGAGAAAAGAAAAAGGAAGAAAAAGCAAAACAAGAAATTCCTGACTGATGACCAACAGAGAGTAGAACAAAAGAACACAACTCTGGCCAAAGAACATCATGTTCCAAAAGCCCAGAGACAGGTGCAGCACACTATCTTTTCATAAATTAGCTGGCTGTCTTCTTCTCTGAGTGTAAGGATTTTAGAAAGCTTTGTGAAAGGTACTAGGATTAAAAACAAGCTACCTCAAAGATGATAAATGATGATAAATGGAGTAGCCATGGATAAAAGTCACTAAACTATTCATGTCCTTAGACCCACTAATCCCAATGACCAATAACATTGGGCAAACACACCAAGGAAGTCAAAGATTAAAAAAAAAAAAGGAACCACATGAAGCAAAATAGTCATAGAAGCATTATTTGCATAGCAAAAGATGAAAACAAAGTTGACAATCATCAACTGCGGAATGCCAAAACAAACTGGCACACTAAATGTTACTGTGCTGTAGGAAATAACGAATGAGGGACTCATAGAAACATGGGAGAATTCACATAAACTGATATGGAGTGAAGTAAGCAGCACCAGAAGAACAGTATATGTGATGAATACAATATTGTAAACAAGAATACTATAAGGAATCCAACCTACTAATTATAAAGATCAATTTTGGTCCTAGAAAATAGATGATGAAATGCACCTCCCTTCCTCTGGTACAGAAGAAAGGAGAAAGAGAGGAACTATGGGATGGAATTTTACACATCCCATCAGGCTCATCAGTTAGTTTTATTTAACTGTTTTTCTTTGGTTCAAGAAGGGCTCATTTGGAAGTGGGGCATATTTAGAAATGACTATGATATAAAAACAAAAAGCATCAGTAAAACTTATTATAAAATTAAAAAACCCAAAAGGCCACCTTCGATGTTTACCTGCCTGCTGCTCTTAAAACGGCTTAAAGTTACATTTTAAGCAAATCCAACCACAATCATCAAACCCCAGGGTCTAATAGTGTAACTTTACATATGTCAGGGATTGAAAGATTAAAGGTTCCATCTGTTGAGGAAAGGCCCTATGGATGCCAACATTTAAAGAATCTTGTTTTTGAAAATGCTGTCTCTGTTGTTTTAAAATCAATAATAATAACTAGTATTTATGTAACACCTAGCATGTGGGAGGCACTGTGCTAAGAAAAGATATTTCTTTTTAAAAACCTTATTTTTAATGATTTTAGTAAGCTTTTACTGCATCTTCATTTCCAAATGTATCAGCAATATAAGAGAAAGAAATTAAAAGAATAGAGATAAAGAGGAAATAAAGCTATAACACTTGCTGATGATATCATGATATATTTGGAAAAATCCTATGGAATCAGTAAAGACACTAATTGAGACAATTAAAAGCTTCAGCAAAGTTGCAGGCTACAAGATATTTATAAATATCAAAAAGCAACTGTGTTTCTACATGGTAAGAGCAAAATCCAAGAAGTAAAAATAGAAAGGGAAATCCCATTCCAAATAACTACAAAGTGTTTAAATTGTCTGGGATTCATCTATAAAAGCACATAAAAGACTTATATTGATAAAATTACAACATGCTCCAAGAGCAACTTAAATAGCTGGAGGAATATTCAGTGCTCATGGCTAGGCTGTGCCAATATAATAAAAATGACAATACTACCAAAGTTAATTTACCCTTTTAATGCTATAACAAATTATCCAGGGGATACTTTATAGAACTTGGTAAAATAACAAAATTTATTTGGAAAAACGAAAGATCTAAAACATCAAAGGAAATGATGAAAAGAAATAAAGATTAAGGGAGAATGGTACTTCCAAGCTTCAAACTATATTATAAAGCAGCAGTCATCAAAACTATCTGGTACTGGTTAAAAAACAGAGGTAGATTAATGAAACACACTAGATAAGGGAGAATCAGAAACAATAGAACTCAGTAACTTAGTGTTCAATAAAATGGAAAACAAATTACCTAGGATTAAACTCTTCATTTGATTAAATGTTGGGTGTTTGATTAAATCTATTTGATTAAATATTGGGAAAACTGGAAAGCAGTCTGGCAGAAATTAGGCTTAGACTAACACCTTACACTATATTCAACAACACATTCTTAACAGATACGTGACCTTACTAAAAAACATACATTAAAAAATTAGAAGAGAAGTGGATTATATACCTCTCACAGTTATGGGCAGGAGACGTATTCTTAACCAAACCAGATAAAACCAATTACAAAAGATAAAATAGATAACTTTGATTACAGGAAACTTCTGCATAGACAATATTAACAATATTAACGAACCTAGCATAAGACAGGAAGTGGCTGAATGAGGAAAAAAATCTTTAAATCAAATTTCTCTGATAAAGATTTGGTATTAATAAATTTAAGACTAATAGCCATTCTACAAAAAAAGAGTGGCCAAAGGACATGAACCAACAGTTTTCAAAGAATTGCAAAATATTTAGAACCATGTGAAAGAAAGCTTCAAATCTCTAATAAGAATCTCTAATAAGAAGAGAAATGCAAATCAAAACAACCTTGATGCAAATCAAAACTTTACACCCTGGAAATCGGCAAAGATGAGAAAAAAATAGAAATGGTCAATGTGGACAGAGTTGTAGAACGATAGGTATGCTAACAGACTGCTGGTGGAGCTGTGAAATGGCACAACCTTTTTGGAAAGCAAATTGGAATTATGCAAACAAAGAAACAAAAATATCCATACGCTCTGAAATAGAGACCCCATTACTAGGCTTAGGCCCTGAGAAAGATATCCATGAGAAAATCCCCATATACACCAAAATATTTATAGCAACAATTTCTATGATAGCAAAGAATTAGAAACAATGGCTACCCATTAGCTGAGGAATGGCTAAACAAACTGTAGTACAAGAATGTAATGGAATATTACTGTGCTGTAAGAAATTATGTATGTAATGAATATATAAAAACATGCAAAGATCTACATGAATTCATGCAGAATGAAGTAGAGCCAACAAAACAATATACACAATATACAATACACACAATAACCACAACAAAGTAAATGGAACAGCCATACACAAAAAATCAAAAGTAAACATAACGAAATTATAAAGATCAAACATGACTCAAATGAAGAGATACCTACCCCTTCATGGAGGTGGGAAGTCCACAGGTATTAAATATTGCACATGTTTTGATACTCTTTCAAAGTATTTATCAGCTGGGCTGATTTTTTTTTCTCCTTAAAAAATAATGTTTTGTTATATGGAATGGGTCTCTGCGAGGTAGAGGGGTACTGTGAATAATTATGATGATGTACGAAACAAAAGGCATTAATAAAAACTTATTTTTTAAAAAGGGAGAGAAATCAATAATCTAGTTTTACCGGTTTTTGCTTTGGGAATGAGTTCCCAAATTAC